TGGGGTGGGAGGCTAGATGACAACAACATCCGGCCCCGGGGCACCTGCACGGGCGGGGGATGCTGGCGGAGACTAGGATGGCGGCAACTCAGACTCGGGCTGAGAGCCAACGGCAAGGCTCGCTGGCAGTACACTTTTTTCCGTCACAGGAACCGGCTTTGCTGGCGGCGAAAAAATCCCACCAGCCTCCTTTGCCCCTCCAATAGAGGGATGTCATTTTCCTTTTTGTCATTTAAACCAGGGGTTCCCAAAGTGTGGGAAGGTGAGCCTCCCCTCAGAGAACATAGTCACAGCCGCGCCCCCCCTCCCAATTATTATTGCTATTATTATTATTGTTGTTGTTGCTATAATGCAGGGGTATTCAATTGCATTTCAAAGAGAAAATGTAAGGTGAGAAAATGTCATAAAATGCTCTGTTTTCGCTACCTTCCTATTTTTTGATTGGTTGAGCGTCACCTCCTTAAGACCCCTTTGTGCTTTCACGATTGGTTGCTGATACAAAGGAAATTACCATATTTGGATCCGATGAGATTGTGCAGGAGAGACGGAGCTTTCCAGCGATACCTCTGTTGACATGGTGCACACAGCGGTAGCGGTACTTTATGTTACGTTAGAATGCTAACTGTTGGTGAATTTAGGAGAAATCTACAGACAAAAATAGACAAACTATAGTAAAAATAAACACTTAAATGTGTATTTTGTACGTTTTCCTTCCAAAAGCCTGAAAGAAAACATGTTATGGAATCAAAATAGCACAAAATCTCAAAATTGACCAGTACTTGAAAAACGATGTTTTTGCCTGCCGTGTCTCGTTAATGGGAGAGGAGCTTGCAGTGACGTGTAACACCAGGGGTATGGTCTTCCTTCTTGAACTTGCGCTAAGCTTCATTTCTAAATAAATGTACTTGTGTTTTGAGGATTTAGCAGCCAGGTATGTATTGCACAGTTTAGGTAAATGTAGGTCACTGCACTTTGGACTTAGTATAACACAGATACATACCTTCTGAAGATCCTTATATTTTTGGATAATGTCTGTGGATGACGATGACTCCGGCCTTGATTTTTTTGCTTGGTCTCTCCTGAGAACAGACAACAACATACATAAATATTTGTTTTTGTGTGTGGTTGTGTGTGTATCTTCATAAACTTGTGGTGTTTCGATTTTGAATAACTCACCTCTGACTGTTCCACGTCGCCGTCCTCCTCCAGAAAAGGCCTCCTTTTCTTTGCCCTCTTGCCTTTTCCCATCGGCCCGGATTGTTCAAAAGGTTCTTTACCTTCAACCAGCCGGTTCCTCATCTTGAGGAGTGCACCTTTGTCATCTATTGGAAGCAACACAGATATTCAGCCTATTACTTTGTACAATCCATATATATATATAGGGTACATCAACATTTGTATGTGAGTCACATTGTCTGCTAACATGACAATGTGTTGGTAATGATACTCTGTATAGGAAAATATAACATATGGTCATGCTACACCCATTATGAGTTTATACTTAGCTGATAATACCTAGCCAGGTGAGTTAAACTATATATTAGTGGCAGCTGGTGAAAAATATTTTAGGTGGGGCTGTGGAAGATAGGGGCATATTTTATACCAGGGGTCTGCAACCTTTTTGAAACTGAGAGCTACCTGAAGGATAATGAACTCTATGGAGGGCTGATTTTTTGATATAATCTTTCTGAAGAATATAAGTATATTTGTACTAATTACTGTTTCCAATGGGCGACAATTTTTTAGATAAAAAACCGTATTTTTAATAATAACTCTAGAGTGGATTTATAGAGCGCCTTTCAGATCTGAGGACGCTGATTGGCTGAAATTTGCTGCCATATTTTTCGGGGTAGCAACGGTCAGCGATTGGTTGGCTGCTGCTGCGCTGAGGTGCTTAATTCTCCCAGACGAGAGAGGGTAATGATTCTAATGAAACATATAACGGTTTAGATTTTATATATTAAACAGTATTGTACTTATCATAAATATAAAACGTTCCATCCTAGCACCTCTATTGACCAGCCGCCACTGCTATATATTAACAAATAAAACATAGGCTGAACAACTGTTCATAATAATGATAAGCTGTACATGTATGATCTATTTAAATATGGCAATTTACCGCCAGTTGATAACACTTTCGCAGTCCAAGCCATAATTTTCCCATTTTGGGGCCACCAGACAAGATATTCCTTGTCCAATTCAGAATCGTACTCCCCCTCAATTAAATGTAACCGGCCAACTTCGATGGTATCATTGCTGAATTCATAAAGCCCGTACATTTTTTGTTCAAAAGTAGCCTAATAAGTAGTGGCAACAAAGTGATTACAAACCGGAGATTGCAGTTGGCACTGCGGCGGTCTGTATCCTAGCAACGCTAGAGAAGCGGGAAGCGTCACCACTCACCAGCTACCCTCAGCGGCAGAATAATCCGTGCCTGGAAAGAGTTCAGTAGTTTTGATTCTCATTCACAAAAAGAGAGAAAACCTGATAATGTACAAAAGATATTTGTCAGATTTAGGTATAGATATTCCCAGGACTACAAAACGGTACCGGAGGACCCATATGGAGGCACAATTTGTGACAGGCCAATGGGAATACATTGCAATCAGTTGAAAGCTCTTTGCGTCAGTTTATGAAGCTGAAGGAGACTTGGTGCGTCACAACTGCACGCCAAAGGAACCTGACCAAGCGCCGCTATTGGACGACCAGGGAGGGAGAGACTGTGTTGTCTAATCAGACATCAGTCACTGTTAGCAAATGACATGTCTGTATTCACCTAATTTCACTGCCGTAGGAGCAGGGGCGGACTGGCCATCTGTAGAATCTGGAGAACCACAGAACGGCCGTCCGGCCCTTTAAAAATAAATTGTTTAACGTCATCTTTTAAGTTGCGCTGACGACCGACAGAGGGCGCTAATGCAGTGGTGTGGTTCTTATCTGTCAAATAATCACACAAGAAAAAAGACCGGCCACACGAAGAGAAGGGATTAGACGCCGCGGCAGACAGGGAGAATGAAAAAACATGGATACATCAAAGAAAACGAAAAGAAAAAGGTCGGGCCGCGAAGGCAAGAGAAGTCACTCGCAGGTGAAGCATATAAATGTCGCAAATTGACAGACCTTTTTGGCAGCAGCGATGCTACAAGCACTATCATCAGCAGTTTAGCACAAGTGCAAGATGATGACGAGAATGATGAGGGCGTGAGTTCAGATATACAGCCAGCGTTGATGATGAGGGACAGAGAGTTGAGCTGGTGGCACATACAAGTGCAGAGCAAGAGGTGGGTGAGAATTACCCTGAACTGCATAAATGCAGCCTAATAAACAGCTGATTTCTAGGTAGGCTATAGTAGGCTACTGTATTTTTTTCTTCTGATGCCACCCCCCCCAGGGCGTTTGACTATTCTAGAAACGACCCCCAAGTAGTGCTTGAAGTGGGGAAAAAGGGCCAGTCCTCCTTTATCGACATATGCATTCTGGGTAGAGCAACTACAATTAACCAGAGTACACTAAGCACTAGGCTACAGGAATAAAGATAACCTTCCACTTAAACCGGAGAATAAAAAACACAAGTGTATAAACAATAAAAGCCCCATTGGAGCGGCAGCCACACTTCATATAGTCTGGGCCCCCAGGTCTCGTTTGTCCAAACCTGCCTGGTTTTATTCCACTCTGAATGTGTAGCTCGTGCCCTGAGGTGTGAACAGGATTCCTAACTGACATGTTCCCAGGGAATCCCAAAAGTTTAGATACCTTAAACTTAGTTTTGAAAAAACAAATGGGAGAGACAGTGAACATTTAAATATACAAAACATTTATTGAAAAATATGATATTACATTTTTAATTATAAATACATTTTAATATTACATTTATTGTTTAAAAACAAAAGTTGTTGAAGAGAATGCAGTGCTCAGTACGGCGGATTACGTCCATTTCCACCTGGAAGAAGAAACAAATTGTATTGGGCCAAAGGAAGTCGGATTTATCACCCACACATCATGCAAGTCACAGAGTTGGTCCAATGTCAGGAAATAGATTCACATTTTCCACATAAGTCATAATGCCAAGTGATAAGATAACATTTTTTTCTCTGTTGAAAGAATACATACAGCAACACCTCTACTTTATTTTTTTCCTTCAACAAATGGTACAGGTGGAGGGGTTAGTTGCCCTAGACTGACAACGAAAGCTTTATGTGCGCCCTCTGGTGGAAAGAATTAGGACGTGGACATAATGCTGACTGCAAATGGTAGAGTTTTAATATATTAGCAATTTCGCAGGAGACAAAGGCAAGTGTAATCCCCAATTTAAAGTTTAAAAGAGATAATCAGATTACTGGTAACAAATATATTTGGATTACAATATATTTTAGAATAAATATAAATACATTTGTGATAGAGGTACTGCCTGAATTTCTTGTTCTTTATGCAACACCTGATTAATTCAACAAAGACACTTTGTTTGCTTTTAAAGTATGTATTGTAGTAAAACAGCTTTTGTTTTATCCTCTAGTCTTTGCCAATCATTTAAAACACCCTTTTTATATTAAACAATATTAAACTAAAAGCATTTCCTGTTAACTCAGATTCTATTCCTGCTTTTTTTAAACTGTAGTATGTGCTCGTGTGCTTCATTGTTGGTGTATAGGCTGCTGCCTGAATCTGTTTAAAGGCAGGTCTTCCTACAAACAACATCTGAGCAGAGGACACCTTTTGATACCAAATATCTTGGTTTCCTCTTTACTAAGGTCAACATTGCATTTGATATTGAACTCATCCAAAAGTAATCTTACATAACTTTTATATTGTGACACCTACATTTAAAATTGTTTATAGTAATTGTACATTTTAAGTAACCCTGCAATTGTTCTACCAGTCTAAATGAAGACATTTCATTGAAATGAAAGACTCACATTTGAAAACTGAATCCACCCCGCATGACCGCGACTACCACTCCTAACAAATGAGACATTTCTAACCTTGGTGTTTCCCAGGTTTGCCATAGTATCCACTGTAGGCTTCATGCTGGCTGCCGTCTGTAAAAAAAGAGACCTTTTAAAAAAGGGCCTGAAAATGTGTCCAATCAGCTTTGTGTCCTACATGATCACACCATGTTCTGCTCAAATCTGAACAGTTGTTGGGACTACCATTAAAATGTTGATTTGTTTGGAAAACACAAAAATGTAATACTTGGTCAATTAATGTTGTCAAACCAACACAGTCCTGAATTTAAAAGTTAAATCTGAAAATTCTGTTTGCAGATTTATTGCATTAATGCTTCAAGAACGCATCCAAAGCCGTGCATTACTTTACGTTGGGATGGATAATTAAACTGTCATGTTTTTCTTTTCTGATGCTGTTCAATTAACAGAACATTCTATGGTTTAAAAATGACTGACATTTCATAAAATGGGCAGGATCCAGAATCAAAGAAAGTGTATATATTTTAGAAGAGTCAATTGAGCCGCAGGTTTTCCAACCTGAAGATGCAGTATTGGTCAAATCTATTTTTAGAGACCTTACATTGACCCCTTGGTTTCCTGTAGCCTTGTTTCCTCTGGTTCTTCTGTGTTTGTCCCCTCATGATTGGTCCTTCTCCTTGTCTATAGTTCCCATTCTTATTGTCTACAAGACAAGCAAGCTAGTTACAGCACTATGGTCATTTTCAGCATAATTTAATTGTGGTCAAATCAAAAAGAAGATCACCTGAATATGTAAGAGGCTGATTCCTGTTTGGTCCCATGCTACACCTCCTCTCCTCACAGGCACACTTGTGCTCCTGGAACTCATTACACTGGACTCCAAAGTCCACCTTCGATGGAGACACTTCTGCCGTCTTCTGATCAGCCATCGGGACGCCCAGCTGCTCTTTTCCAAGCCGACTAACTTCTTCGTTCCCACGTGCTCCATCTTCCACCTCAATGCCCGCTCCATTTTGTAGATTCAGCTTTCTTGCGCACGTCTTCCCAATAGAATTCAAGTTCAGATTCTCTTCCTGCTGAGGGCCGTTCCTTTTCTTCTGCTGCTCATTTAAAATGTCCTGGTTTGGGCTTCGATTAGCCTCAGGTTCAGAAGACCTATTTGTGTCCTCTTTAGTGGGGGAAGATACAATAATTGTACTCTGCAGTTCATTTGGGGAAGCCGAGCAATCCTTTTCTGAAGGAGCCCCGCCCTGGGCTTGAGTTGGACTTTTTATGTCAGAGGCCTCCATGTCGCTCTCCCTTTCCGGCTTCTTTTGTAGGCTTGTCTTTTCGGCAGGGGTGCAGAACAAGAGCCAGCTGTCCGACAGACTGGTGTCAGAAGAGGAACACTTTTCTCTAGATTTGACAATGGGGTTGTCGTTCTCGGCTTGCTCCTCAATCACATCGGCTGCTAACAGGCCGTTGTGCTGCAACCACTCCTTGGTGGGGATGAAGGGGGCCAGAGACTCCACGGACCAAATGGACTCGTTCCAGGTTCTCTTCAGGTAGGAGCTATTATTTATAGAGGGAATGATTGGTGTCGTGTCTTCACGCAAATTTGTCTCGATGCTATATTCTTGCTCATTGTCAAGGAGCTTATGGGATGAGGATTGTAGGAGTTCATCTGCGTATGGAAGACAATGCCTTACGGAGCCAACGAGTCCCAAAGACTCTTCATTGTTCCTGGACTCTGCGTATCGTCCTTCTTCAGCTTCTCTCAGTTTGAGGATCTTGAAAAGGACTTCACTGTGCTCAGAGATTAAGTTACCCTGAGCATCATCTTTAGGATAAGCCGCCTCTGGACTGATTCTGGTCTCGACTCCACTCTGGTGAACAGACTTATCCTGCTCTACTTCAGTTTGGAGGTCATTCTGAAGCAGCTTACCTGCCATCTTCAGTATCGTTTCCTGAGGCGTACCACCTCCCCAACTCATGAGGATGTCAGGAACGGAGATCAGCCTCTCTTTGACAACCTCCTCCTCTTGTTGGGAGGAGCTACAAACAGGAACCATACTATCTTGAGAGCCAACAGACCACATGTTGCAGTGAGCGTTCCTGCATGGGGGAACATTCTCCTGACCCACACTCTCTTTTCGGCTCTTCTGAGTGTCCAGGGTTGCTCGGATACATGACTGGCTGGCTGTCGTTCCTGTAGGTCGGAGGCTGTTAAAGCCATGTTTGTTACTGGTCCCTTTAACCAGGAGGTATTTTGCATCACTGCTGTGTAACGCGTCGTTCTCAACTTCAGCAGTGTTTGGTTTTTTGGGAGCTTGAGCTCGAGGATGAAGGAGAGTTTATTGCGGTTCCACTACCCGAATCTGCGCTGATGAGTGGGCTTTCCTCACTGAAACCTCCTCCTCTCTGTCGGGGGTCTGTTTGGACCTCCGAGTTCACGGTTTCTCTCACTGGGTCGGTATGATGTGGGCGGACTCTACAGGGCTGGTATGGGTTCTGATGGGCTGCGCTAGGAACCTGAGCCTGGGCCTGGGGGTGGATGAAACGCCTGTAGTCGACTGGTTGCATGTGAGGGCGGGGCATGATGTATGCTGGAACCTCCATATAGGGATTGGGAGGAGGAAACGAGGGCATCACCATACCATAGCCTGAGAAGTAGAAACAAGAAACGGTGAATCGGCGAAGGACGTTCAAGTCCAGTGAGCAGCACTTTCAAATTTCAATATCTGAGTTTACATTTCTGTCATAGAAAAGTTACATACATACAGTATAAGACCATTGTGTTCGACAGTGATGTACAGTAACCAAGAACATTTAATCAAGCACAATTTTGAGATACTAGTACTTTAATTGAGTATTTCTGCTACTTTGTATTTTTACTCAACTTTTATTTATACAGTTACTCAATACCTTTAGTTACTTTACAGATGTGGATGAATGATGTGAAATCTAATCAAGTGTTAAATCAGACTTTAGTTCCACCTGGAGTAAATCCACAAGCTACCCTGCAGAATATTAAGTCATTCAAACTAGCTGCACCTTTACCAGCTTTGAGAACACTTTCATGATCAATCATTATAAAACATATCATATATATTATTCTGAAATAAACCAATCTGCACAGTGACTACTTTTACTGTCGCTACTTTAACTAGATTTTGATGCTGATACTTTTACTTGAGTAACATTTTGAATGCAGTATTCCGACACTCTCGTACTTTTACTCAAGTACAATATCTGAGTACTTCTTCCATCTCTGGTGTTGGATAATGAATGTTGTAGTTCTCATGTTATTGTGTCCCTCGCTTGCATCAAACTAACTGAACCCAGCCTTTTTGCTTTCACCTAAAATATAGAACCAAACACCGGAATTTTTAAATGTTTCCACCAAAATGTAAAAACTCAAGACTCACCCATTCCTGGGAAACCAGCAAAGGGGTTATAGGAGAAGGGCATGGGCCACTGGCAGGTGTGGAAAGGGGGTGGGGGTGGAGCATGGACGTAGAAGACAGGCCGGCCAGGGAGGTGGTGTTGGGGGTGGTGGGGTTGAGCTCCTTGGTTTTGGCAGGGGGTGTATAGTCCTGGATCATGCTGATCAGAGGACGGCCCACCAATGTTAGCCCGAGTGTTTCCATGCACTCTGCTTGGGTGAGCTGACGGAGGTTTTTTCACAGCGTTCGTCGCCATATTGGACCTGCAGGAGGAGGCTCTGTCAGGTGTGGATCCACAGCAATAATTAAGAACTGTAGATCTGAACAAACATTACACCAACAGGATGATACTTTTTGGGAGTCTTTTTTTTTTGGGATTAAATTGACTAAGAGTATTTGGACCAAATTCAGTGTATGTTTACAATGTTAAGAATGTTTTAAAACGATTCACTGCTCAAGAAAGGGGGAAAAGTAACCACTGCAGTTAAGAGAAGACATTCACACAGCTACCTCTCAAGCATTGCTAATGAGTGCATTTCAATTATGTTTCTCACTTTGGTCTGTCTTTGTTTGATCTACACATGCATATTAGACATTTAGATTCTTAAATATTATATTCAATATACACAATTGTTTGCCACCAGACTTTTAATGTTCATACACCAAGCATGTTAGGGTGAAATAAGTCCTCTAGACTTGTGGTTCTGAACCGTTTAGTGCTCTCCTCGCACTCAGTACCAAAAGTGACTTAGAACACCAAAACATACATTTGAAAAGCTTGAAGTTCTGATCTCAAATGTGGAACAATAGTAAATAAAGCCAATGAATAAAAATGGTACACACTAGAGCAGGGGTGCCCACACTTTTTTGGCTGGTGAGCTACTTTTGAAATGACCAGCTCACCGAGGTCTACCAACCAAAAATAAAATCCCAAATTGCAAGGGTTGCTGAATAACACGTTTTATTTATACATGGGATAATAGGGCTGCAACAAACGACTAATTTGATAATCGATTAATCTATCGATTAATTAATCGACTATTCGGACTATTACTGTATGCCTTGCACAATTTCTCAAACGCTCTTATTTAGCCATCAACTTTTAGATTTAGCTTGAGGTTGTTTTAGGCATGTGGAAACTAACAATGAAGACAATACAGATGAATACTTGATTCAAAAATACATATATTATTAAATTAACTTAACAAATTGTGAACAAAATTAACATTGCTTTTTATTAATTAAATAAATAATATTTCACATCAAAAGAAACAACAATGTTTTAACAAATCGTATTAAATAATGTGATGACAGAACTGTGAACAGAATAGCTGAAACTGTAACAAAATAAAGAGTAACTCAGTTTCCTCTAATCATTAACCCATGTTTGTATAATGTAGCTAACTCCGTGTGTTGCTGCTAGCATACATAACACCTGACGTGGAAAAGTTACTCGTGGATGGGGGCTACGGAGCTACTAGAAAGACAGTCGAACCCGGTGCATTCCGTCTGAATGTGGAGCACTTTTGATAAATGTTTAGACAAATTGCTCGTGTTACCGCCCACACATGCTAAACACTCTTGGCAACAAGCATTGTCCACCTCAAGACGGGTAACATTTAACCACACCTTGGAGCGCTTCTCTCCGCCATCTCCTCCGTGTGTTGCTGCCCGGTTGCTGCATGGAGCAGCTGCGTGTGTGTAAACTGCCCCGCCCCCTCGCACACAGACGAGGGAGAGAGAGATATCGTCTCGATTGGAAAGATAACAAATAAACCGACCATAGACGCATTTTTTTTGAGCTGGACTTTTTTTTTTTATGAATGACTACCAGCATTGCCCCCGTGGTCGACCGACGTACTGGGCACCTCTGCACTAGATAATAAAAAATTAATCAACAAACAGTTGGAAACGTTATAGTAAATCTCAGAGGGTAAGGGCATGGCGAAGTCTGAACACAACCAAATAACGTTTTACAGTATAGAAAACCCCCAATGTGTCCGGGAGAAGAAAATACTGAATTTATCAAGAAGAATGACAGCCTAAGTACTCAGATTTTGAATCAGAAAGCTCCTGCCAACACTACAAAAAAAATGATGCTTCCAAATCTTTCCTAAGCATTTACTATGTTGTCTATTATAAAGGAAATGTTGAGTCACTTTACCTGGTTGAGGACTTGATATGTAAGAGCAACACAAAGTGATTAAACGTGAGACTCACACACCTGAGTTTAAGTAGCTGCTGATCAGGCAAGTGTGTTCACCATCAGCTGAGGGAGCACCTCATCAAACACTCAGATTAAGATGTCATGCAACTATTGGGACACTAGAGGGAGCCAAACAGTTAGACACAAATATGCTTTTTTGAAAGCTTATAAACATTTCTGTTGTCCATCAGACATTTATAATACATTTTAAACTGCTTACATGGCACCCAAGGACACCTTATGTGGATGATATGTGCACAGCTTTTAAATGCAGTAGCTAGTAGGAACAAT